AGGAGCACCTGCGGGGCTCAGTGGGTTGAACGTCTGACTCTTGATTTCGGCTCAGGTCATGATCTCAGGGTCGTGGGATCCAGTCCTGCCTCAGGCTCGGCGCTCAGCAGGGAGTCTGCTGAAGATTCTCCCTCTCCCTCTGCCCCTCCCCGCACTTGCACACACTCACTCTCTCGCTCGCTCTCTCTAAAATAAATAAATAAATAAATCTTTAAAAAATGCCACTGCATTGTTCACTTTAAAATTGGTATAATGGTCAGTTTTATGTTATGGGTATTTTACCACAATTTCAAAAATTAAAAGTATAAGAAAAACCATTTGCAAATGTGTGTGTGTGTGTGTGTGTGTGTGTGTGTGTGTGTGTGTGTGTAGGCGCGGCACCCAGCAAATAAATGTTGGTAGTACATATTAACCACAAATTACAAGAAAAATATTAGATTCCAATAGATTGATAGGCAAATTACATGAACAAGCAATTCACAAGAGACTATATAAATTGTAAGCAAAACTGGAAAACAGTTCAGCTTCTGTAATAACTGACAAAATTAGAGCCACAAAAAAATCCTTACGTATCATTTTATACCTACTAAATTAACAAGCGTAAGAAGGAGGAAAGGACAGCAGGAAGGAGGAAGTAGGGAAGAGGAATTAGAGGTAGCAAGGAGGGAAGAAGGAGGGATGAAGGGAAGGAGTTTCTTCTATCTCAGTTCCTTCTCTGAAAATAGAAACAATACCACGCTCCCTGTGGCAGAAGTAGCTTGCTGCCTTCCCAGTAATGTCCTCCTTTGTACCTTGCTGATGAGGGTGGCCACCCAGGGGCAGGTGGAGGTGGGAGGGGCGGTGCTTCTGAGAAAGCCTCTTTGCCCCTCCCCCCTTCCTCCTGCACAGTGGCAGGCATCTCAGGTCATGACGCAAATATGGAAACTTGGAAACCAAGTCTGGCAGGGCAGAAGCTAGGAAGAGCCCGGAACCTCTCCTACAGGGGTAGACTACTTACCGCCAGACATCTACGTGGGAAAAAAATTAAGCTCTCTGCTTAAGACACTGTTATTTCTGGTTTCTGTTCCTTGAAATTGTGTGCAACTTTTTTTTTTTTTTAGGCTAGTCAAGTGTAGCAGTGTGAGAGAAGGAACAAAGAACTCTGTAGTTGGCTGTGATCAATGAATTGTGAACACCACTGCACTCAGACCAGCCAGTTGTGTGTAATTCTTAACTGATAAGCTTCCTTCTTCATTATGTTACAGGATTAGATGGCACGATGTTTGTATAATAGGGCACAGTGCCCGTTGCAACGTAAACACCCATGGGAGTACTGTTTCTCATCTCTGAATAAAGGTATCAACTAAATGTCTAAAATGTCACCATAATCACAAATCACATACACACAGGGTAAGTTTTTAAGTATTTTCAGAGTTATCAAATGTGTATCTCTCCAAAAGCATTTATTGCTAATATTCCACTAACATTAGAACACATTGGGCTCAAATAAAAACCACCCAAATGGAAAAAAAAAAAAGTTACTTGTTTTCTGAAATAGATTGACCTTATTTCAAGGGTAAACCTAAGTGGTGTTAGGAAGCCATCACACATGCTGCATGCCTATTGGAAAATAGGATCTCAAAACTTCTCCATCCAGATGTATGACACTGATACCATCCAAATCAGTCGTCTCATCTTACTTACGAAGGGCACGACAAAATGGATAACTTTTACCAAAAACACCGTTGTTCTACATTACTTTTTTTTTTTAAGTAGACTCCACACCCAGCATGGAGCCCAACATGAGACTCAAAATTACAAACCTGACATCAAGACCTGAGCTGAAATCAAGAGTTGGGCGCTTAATGGGCGGAGCCACCCAGGCGCCCCTGTTCTACATTGCTTTAAATGGCAAAATCAGTATATTTTACAGGAAAAACAAAACAAAACAAAACACCTTCCAAACTCCAGTTTGGAATGGGCTCCTGGCCGCAGGGGTGAGGTAGGTGTGGAGGAAAGGGGCATCAGTGATGTGTGACTCACTCAAACTCCCCTCAGAGAAGAAAGCCTCAAACCAGCCACTGAAATAGTGGTCATGGTCTCCAGTTGCAACACGGATCTTTCTAATGCCCAGCCCCTGAAGATGGTCAAGGCCCGGATGGGTTCCCAATGTCCGGGGATGTTGCCAAGGGATGGAAGAAATGAATGTACAAATTATCTGCAGCAGAGAAAGTTCCCATTCCTGCCCTGTTAGGTTATTACAGGGTCTTCAACAACAGGATGTCTTTGGTGGGTGGGTAGGGTGAGGAGCCACAGAGGTGTTGATAGGAGATTATCAGGATTTGGGCATTCACATCTGTGCATTATAAATGAGCTTACATTCCAAATCATTAAGAAGACACTCAAATATTAACTCAAAGTTAATACACAGGGGAGTATTCTCTTAGTATTTTCTAGACTTTCACCCAAAAGTTTCGTAAAGAAAAAGTTTTCATAAAAAAAGAGGACAGGGGCTCCTGGGTGGCTCAGTCAGTTAAGTGTCCAACTCTTTGTTTTGGCTCAGCTGGTGATCTCGAAGTCGTGGGATTGAGCCCCACATGGGGCTCTGTGCTCAGCATGGAGTCTGCTTCAGATTCTCCCACTCACTGTCTCTCTCTCTCTCTCTCTCTCTCTCTCTCTCTCTCTCTCTCAAATAAATAAATAAATAAAAAGAGAAACAAACAAAAAAGAGGACAAAATGTTTCACAGAGATGGGTATAAGGAACATCGCAGATAGAGCTTGTAATCTCAGCTCTGGAATGGAGTGTTGGAAAAGCTGAAACGGCATCTTCTGTTGTCTCCCTAGACCATTCTAAATCCCTTCTAACACAGGGAGAGGATGGATGGATGGATGGTGGATGGATAATCAGTCAGACCAACTCAAGAAAAGAAGGAAGAACATGGGGAAGAATGTTTCCCACTTCTCACAATCAGTTCCTTAAACACTACAATGGGAAAGTAACCCATGACCTAGTTTCAAAGAATCTGTAAGAACTGACATATTGGGGGTCTACTCTGAAACTCAAATGGCTCACATGGCATTCAGGCTTCATTAAAACAGATTGTAAAGCAATGACAGGCTTTTCTTTCTATTGCATTTTGCTATACTAAATTTTTTAGCTGGAAATAATTGAGCCATGGTACAGCTTTTTAAAAACTGAACATGCTTGTGTCTGTGTATAATGCAATTTGTTTTGCAATATCATCAGTAAGAAGAGTAAACTTTTCATATTCCCTGTGCCTTCAGCCAAGTTTGAATGGTCAAACCCCAATCCCCACCTCCCCCACCCCCACTCCAAAGCAGAAGAAGTAAATTCAGATCCACGTTGCCCATGAGAGTTTCTTACCTGTGTATATTCCTTGGAAAGCTTTCCAGTTTCAGGCTCTTCTCTTCACATAGCAGTTAGACCACTGGTGGCCCCGGGAGGGGCTTCTGGACTAGCCTGCTCAAGAAGCCCGGCCCCCAGGTCATCTCCTCCCCTTTTGGCTCAATCCTGCGAACCGAACCGAATTCCTTAAAGAGCAACCTTGCGTCTTGTGCATGTGAGTGACATCCAGGTCACACCCCCTTTCCTGTAGCCCTTCACCCGATCCCTTTTTAAAGGGGAAATTACATTTCTCATTGAGACTGAAGGAGGCTGTCAAACCTTGGAGAAAACTAACAGTTCTCAGGAAGGCCATGGAGACTTCGGGAAGATCAGTGGTCTAGGCAAGGGGAAGAAGGAAGCTTTGCCCTTTCAAACCTTTTCTTGCAGCCATCACTGCTTAGAATTAAAGGGCAGAAGGCTGGTGATCGATCTAAGCATAGCATATTTTTAGATAGTTGTTGAGAAGGGCAGGATGAGCTGAGAACCTTGAAACTGCCCAGTGACCTTGGCTTCTATGGACTTAGAGCTAACATTTACATGCTGCTTTTGTCTGTTCTTCCCTTCAGGAAACATCACTGGCTGGGTACCTGGTCCATGCCCGGTGCTTGACACCCGCCTTCCACAACCCAGAGAGGTGGAGATCACTATCCCCACTTCCCACCTGAGGACACACATGATAAAGTGTCACAATTGGAACTCAAATATATCAACTCTCATTCTTAGGCTCAACTTGCTTTAATCACTGAATATTTGTGGAGCAGCCCATTGTGCCTTAAGTTGTGCTAGATGAGTCATGACGTTGACATAGAAGTGACATGGAAGCTTCCTTGGGTATAAGCAATGACACTTCCATGAGCACCAGTCAACCCCGCTACATGGAGGGGCAGGAGGGAGCTGAAAAAAATAGAGATTGGTCCAAAAGGTAAGTTTGGATTTGGTCAGATCTTCTGGAATCTTAAGAACTAGATATTACATAGAAAGTGCCCTCTGGGATGCCTGGCTGGCTCAGTCACAAGAGCATGTGACTCTGGATCTTGGGTTGTGGGTTTGATCCCCACACTGAGGGCAGAGTTTACTTTAAAAAAAAATTAAGTTAATCAATAACACTCAGGCTAAATATATATATTACTCTACACCTGGCTCTTAGCAGTTCGCCAATCCAGGAGCCTTAGAAATGACTTCAGGGCCAACAGACCCAGAGAGCAAGACCGTCTGGTGGTCTCCTTTCTGGCAAGCTGTTTTCCAGAACTTTCTCAAGCCTTCAAAGCTCTTTCTCCAGTTCCTGCAGCATAATGTATATCCAGCAGCTGCTGCTGATGTCATGTTGTCACATTTCATTCCGCAGGATTTAACAATGCAGAGCCACACCGTTCCACCCTCCTGTTCATAAAGAGAACATTACCCTTTCTTTCCCACCTGCAGTGAAGATTCATGAGAAAGTTCCTAATCTTATAAAGCTTAGCCCCAGGCAAAGACAAAAGGTGTCTGAGGAACCAGGAAATGAAAGAATAAACTAATCATAATCCTCTGGAATTAGTTTGTGTACCTCTATTGCTTAGCTTTGGCCTGTAATTATCAATACTAAATTTTATGGAATAATTTTGCACAAAGACATCTTCAAGAACAAGGGAATAGCCCAGCAGTTTATTTTCTTAAATATCATACTTACAAAATTACAAGAAAACATCAGTGTAGCCCTCCCCCTTTTAGTATTTTAGACCCAACCATGAGGTCTATAACATGGTGAAGTCATATCAAATCCCAAGGCTTATAAGTAAAATATACAAGGCTTCCCGCCTCCAGCGAGCCAAGAACAATCATCCCATTGACCAGCTCGCCCAGGCTGATGCTGAAGACGAGCCAAACTTCTCTTGCTGGCACAGAGACTGAAGCCAGAGGCAACGGCAGGCTGCGGGGCCTGTAGCTAGTCCTCGGCTGGCCCATCCAGGATGCATTTGAAGGAGAAAGGAGAAAACTTGTAACCAGCCCCAACGTAGAACTTGTTCTGGAACTCTACCCTGGGGAGGGTTGCGGGGGGGGGCAAGAAAAAGTGAGATTAAACACATAAACTAGAGGCTGGCGGCCAAAGGGAAGAAGCAGAACATTTATAAAATCAAACTGGGGGGTAGGAAGGCACTCAGGCTGGTGGCCTCCACAGGGATCCTCTGATCATGAAAACCCTTCTCTTGCCTCCCGCTTACACCTTTCCCTGCCTCTCCCACCCTACTTCCTCCAGGCGTCTGCTACCTGCTCTGAGAGCACAGCAGAGCCACCCTCCACACAGCTCCCATAAGCCAAGAAGCCCTCGCCGGGCAGCCTTGTCTCACAAGCCAGGGACAAGAAAATGTCTCCCCGGGGTGAGACGTGGTTTGTCTTCTCCATCCTGATCTTAATTAACCACGGGGCTTACACTATTGCAGAATACCCAGAACCTTAACTTAACGTTCTGATGACTTCCATCACGGATACATGTATGATCCTTTATGCTTGAGGATATTCATTTCCTCAATGACAGGGGGAGAGGCGATGTTACAACCAGAGGGGGGGATGCTGTGATTCTGTCTGCTCAATACATGGAGTGTCAACACTTCTCTTTACGAATAGTGGGCACAGGGGGAGGTAGAAAGCATCAGTGAAAGCTGAAGACAGTCTATGGGATGTGAGGGTGCACACACACTCTCAAGATTCTGGGCTAAGAGATGACTCAGAGGGAAAACAGAAGCTTCAACAAATGTTTTCATATTCGTAAACCTAGTGATGGCTGATAGTCTGCGGACACATCTGTGAACGTCAAGGGCTCCTGTGAGTGCCTTCTTCCTTCCAGGTACCCTCCTTCTGTTTCGACTTTGTACAGGGCAGGAGCCTCTACCATTGGTATAATTCCTGCACTCAGCAACAAGAGCCAAATGTCCCAGATTCGCTCAGCATGCCTCTGTGAGCCTCTCTCTGATCTGTCATCTTACCAATAGTTGGAGGTGTCCCTTATCTTGAAGCCAGTTGTAATATAACAAGTGAACATTTAAAAGAGAACGAGTAAATGGGAACTAACATTTAGTATAGGGCGGCCATTATATATGTATACACACACACTCACACACATACACACCCATGCACATGCACACACACGTACGCACACATGCACACGTACACATGTGCGTACACACGTGCATGCACTCACACACGCATGCACACACACATGGGTGTACACAGCATACACACATGCACGCACACATACACACGTGTGCGCGCACACAGGCACACACACAAATACACATACATCACCATGTAATATTACACCAACAGAACCAGGTCAGGGTCTGAAGCCAGCTGGCGGGTCCTGCAGCTCATCCGCTCTCTAGGGCCCACAGAGCCTCTGCGGGGCAGCCTTGCTCACCAGTGCAGTCGCAGGGCATGCAGGAACGCAGACAGACCCTCCATGATCAGAAGGATGGCTACTGTCAGCACAGCAAATACGGTAAAAATGACGAAGACCCCAATGAGTCCTCCCCAGCCTCGCAGACGAAGGCCGATGTTCATCACCATGGTCCAGAGCACCTCCGACAGTTCTGTAAGAACAGGAGAAACATTCTCAACCACAGGGTTTATCTTCCCATACTCTATTCCTGGGTCTGCACACCCTAGGATCCCAAATCTCAGCTCTCGGGTGGAGAACAGGCATGTGTGCCCTAGGGCACCCGTAGGAGATTGTCGGGGGCAGCTCTGCTCATCATGGAGGGGTTTCTGTCACGATGACAAACATATGGTAGCCTGTTATTCACCAATGAAAGTGAGCAAACTACAGCTACCAGCAGCAACGTGAGTAAATGCCAGTAACATCATGGTACGCCACAGAAGCGAAACACAAAAGAATACATATGATTTGATATGGGCTGAATGTTTGTGCCTTGCCCCCCCATCAAAGTCATTTGTTGAAGCCCTACCCACCAAAGTGATGGTATTCGGAGAAGGGGTCTTTGGAAGGTGATTAGGGTTTGATGAGGTCATGAGGGTGGGGCCCTCATGATGGGTTAGTGCCCTTGTAAGAAGAGACATCAGAGAGCTATCTTTACATTGTTGGGTTGAGACTTGAGGTCACCCAACCTAAAGGTCACAGTGGCATGGCCCAGAGAGATCAAGCCCTGTCACTTGCACGTGGCCACCAGGACATGATGGGAAGAGACACACGTGGGAGCACAAGGAGGAGCACCTGTGTCTGTACTGTGACCCCTGCCCCCGAGCTCTGGCTTTCAGCTGGAGTAACACAGGGTCCTTCATGGCGGGAACAGCTTCACCTCCATCTACTTATACCCCTACCCACTCCTCTGCACTCTGAGTCAGCATGGACTCTTTGCCTCTACATTTACTAAATTATTGAAATAAAAACTGAAAGCAATTAGAACTGCACCATGCTGTGAAACTCATGTGGCTTCTCTTCCCCGTGGCCCTTAGATACAGCAAAATCACAGTTTCCCCGAGAGCTGCTTTCCCCTGCTCCGGGTCCCAATGGGTAGGGGGCTAACAGTCATACCATCTATTTCCACAGGGCTTTTCAGTGAAGACTTCTCATTCACAGTAGCTCATGGGAGCCTTCCCCCACACCTGTGGGAAGGCAGGTGCTTAATTTCTAATGTTTCACTTTCACCTCCTCCTTGTACCCCCACCTTGGTGATTTTTTTAAAAACATTTTATTTATTTATTTGACAGAGAGAGAGAGAGCACACAAGCAGGGGGAATGGGAGAGGGAGAAGCAGGCTTCCTGCCGAGCAGGGAACCCAATGCGGGGCTTGATCCCAGGACCCTGGGACCATGACCTGAGCCGAAGGCAGGCACTTAACTGACTGAGCCACCCAGGTGCCCCCATCTTGATTTTTGAAGCATGTGTCCAAATACAGGCTCCCTCAACTCAGGTCTTAACATGACACCAATGAACACAATATGCTAGAGTAGTAAATTTCCACTGTTTTAAGCTGCTGAGATCTGGGGGTGGTTCTTACTGCAGCACATTCTAGCCCAGCCTGACTAATACAGCAGGCTAACTATGAGAACCGCACAGGAAAGTCAAGCCACACACAGGTTAAGCTGCTGCCTTAAGTACTGAGCTCAAAGTGGTAGAACAGAAACTAGAACAGAATCAGTATTTGTTGTCATTCTACGAAACTACCTCTTCAAGCAAGTTTGTTGGCATGAAGCAGAAGGTATCCATGGGAACTATACATCTCAGGAAGTTCCAGAAAGACCCAATGGGTGGACCATGCCAGGCAGCTGTGAACCATATGGATTTTTTGGAGTCAAATTACATCCTCAATGAGCATGGGCTGGCCAGAGGAGGCCCTCCTGTTCTATCTAGTTGTGACCTGAGCCCTCCAAACCACACCTGAGATCAGAGCTAAAGGCAGACATCAACACCACTGACCACACAAACTCAGAGATCCACGTCGGGTCCCAGGATAACCACTTCACATGAGTGCATGTCAATGCGCAAGTAAACATACATGGATGCTTGTGGGTGTCTGTGTGCAGATACTTATAGGCTGGATGTATGCATCCAAGCACCTGTGTGCATGCAGAAGCGTGTATGCGTGTATGTGTGGGAGTCGATGCAAGGAAATGAACACGGCCTGAGCAGTGAAGACTAATGGTGAGCACTTGCATTTCTGCTACAAATCAATAAGCAGGCTCACTTTCATTGCTTTGGTTTCTATCCATCAAGCACACACTTTGGCCTGGTTTCTCAGTTCCACACATTGTGCTCAGCGTGGGAACACAGGGATAGAAGACAGGGGCCTTGTTTCCAGGCTAATCACAACAGAACTGTAATCAGTGCTAGGATGGGGCACTCCCAGAACTCAGGGAAAGGGCACCTGCCAGGCCGGGAACCAGGGGAGGTGCCGTCTGAGTAAGTTCTGAAGGAGGAATTAGCTACCAGTGAGGAGAAAGTTAAAGAAGAGAGGAATAGGGGTGCCTGGGTGGCTCAGTGGGTTAAGCATCTGACTCTTGATCTTAACTCAGGTCTTGATCTCAGGGTCATGAGTTCAAGTCCCACGCTGGGCTCCACGCTGGGCATGTAGCCTACTTAAAAGAGAGAGAGAGGAATATTTCAAGCAATTGGGCTGCAGGGCAAACACACAGAAGGGCCCAGAGAGCGTGGCAGCTTCAGGAGCCTCGGTGCAGGTCCTTGTGGCCACTGCCTCCTTAGAAGAGGAAGGCAGGACAGTCAAAGCCCAAGAAACTGGAGACATGAAGCCTGCAGCAGGTGTCAGAGCGATGAGCCCAACAGCCAAGAAACGCAGGCGGCCTCTAGAAACAAGAAATGGTGGCAAGGAAATGGATTCTCCCCTAGAAACCTCTAGAAGACACCCAGCCCTGCTGACACCTTGGTTCTAGGACTCCTGAACTGTAAGATAGTAAATGTGTATTGTTTTAAGCTGCTAAGTTTGTGATAATTCATTACAGCAGCAATAGGGGACTGATACAGAGGGTAACCGCTCTAATAATATAAAGTCAGGCCTACGGGAAAAATGTCACATCTTCCTAAGAAAGAAGAACCAGAAATAACCCAAGAAGGCACTTCTCCCAACAAGTACTTCGATTCTGTTTCCCAGGGGAGCTCTGATTGTGACCCTGAGGGCGACTCACTCACGTGCATGAGCCAGGCTGAGGGCCCAGAGCCGGAGGTAAGAGGCTGTGTTTGAAATGCAGCCCAGGCAATACTCGATCGTGTGGATGGCTTGATGCACAAAGATGTCTCCAAAATTGAACTGAAAGAGAGAGCTCTTTATTCTAATTTCATTAAGAATTTCCTCCATGGAAGGTATCACAAATGAGACACAGATGAATAAAACATGAGCTCCACCGTAAGTCGCTTCCAGTTGAACTAGGGGAAAACAAATATTAACATACTCGTAGGAAGAGAACTAGCAGCACAAAGTAGGAGCTATAGTATGTGTGCAGTAACATTTCCCAGAAATAGCTGAAAAAAGTTCAGAGAAGAGAGAACAGTTGGTAAGGCATCACAGGAGGTGGATGGGTGCTGAAGGAGGGGGAAGCATCCAGAAGTAAAAGATAAGCAAGACCATTCGTTCTGAAGGAAATGACTCCTGCTAAGGAAAAGGCTGGGAACATTCTGAAGGCGAGTTCTGGGGGAAAACAGTTTGGCTGGAAGTGGGAGCTTGTCTGGTGAGGAGTAGAAAGGAGAAACCAGGTGCTGAAGTTTCAGGAAAGGACAGAGCTGAGAAAATAACCTGGAGTCAATGAGGAACCATAAAAAGCATCTGAGTAGAAAGTGGCCGGGGGGTGTGGGGGCACAACATAAAGAAGTATTGGGGGGAAGATTAATCTGGTGACAAAATGGACCAGCAAGGGCAAAGCCGATAAGCAAAAGAGCCTGTTGGTTGATTAGCTCAGGGGTGGGGAGGACGAAGGAGCACACGGACAGCTGTAGCCACTGTTGGCCTCACGCACTCTGATGCTGTGGGGACAACCATCCGACTGGCACCAGCCCAGCCCTCGAATGGCGCACGGCCTGGTGGGGACAATGTGCACGGAAGGTGCAATAATCAAGAATCAGCAGTACGGTGGGGACACAGAAGGGCCTCTCACCCAGGAGGGGCCGGGATCGTACAGGGCTCTGAGGCACCTGAGTCTGAGCAGCTAAAAGAATGGCATTGATAGAAATGGAAAATCGGAGAAGGAGATCAGTTGATGTATTCAGATGTGTTGCATTTCAGGTGACAGCCAGCCACACAGGTAGCATCTCTCAGCACACAGTAGAAGAGGCAGAATAGGCTCAGAAGAAAAGTCTGGGCTGGGAATGCGACACCTAGGACCTCCCCTGTGGGAGGAGCAATAGTGCGAGGTAAGCGGACTGGGAAGATAGCCAAGGGAAAGAGCTCCCAGACTCGGAACGCATCTTCATTCCGAGGTGAGAAAGAACAAAACGGATGATGCAAAGAAAAGGTCAAAAGGCCAGGAGGAGTCACAGGGCTATGGTCAAGGTTGCAGAGAAACCCAGGAAGGAATGGGGACTGTGGTCAACCACGGCAGGAGCTATGGAGAGAAGACAGAAACCAATGTCTCTGATTCAGCAAAGAAAACAGCTGGGAGGAAGTGAAGGGCAGGGATGGGCAGAGAGGGAGAGAGCGGAGAGACAGAGTCAAGGTGAAGGAGGGATGTGGAGTGAAGCATTAACCCCACCCAAGGAGAGGGCTGGCTTTGTCCCGGCTCCTGGGAGGCAAGCTCTAAACTCCTCACATCTCCCGCGTGAAAGAACTGTCTTTGTTTTTCATGGTAGCCCCCGGGACCACATCTGATCCTTTCCGTGGTTGGAAGGTTGAGACCAGGAGCCAAGTGTTTGCAGTCCAATCTCCAGGGAGTGGATGGGGCTGGAGACAGAGTACAACCACTGGGCTGCCAGTCTATGGAATGAAACGCCAATCAAACTTTGGACACTGGAGCGCAGGTGAGCTTCCTGGGCTGACAAGGCTGTGTGCATGGTGCCACATGCTGGGAGATGAATGCCTCCCTAAGGACACAGAATTCTGGAATTTGGGGCGCCTGGGTGGCTCAGTTGGTCGAGCATCTGCCTTTGGCTCAGGTCATGATCCCGGGGTCCTGGGATAGAGTCCCACATCGAGCTCTCTGCTCAGCCGGGAGCCTGCTTCTCCCTCTCCCTCTGCCACTCCCCCCTGCTTGTGCACTCTCTCTCTCTCTCTCTCTCTCTCATTCTCTCTCTCAAAAAAAAAAAAAAGAAAAAAAGACTTCTGGAATTTGGAACCCTCCCAGAGTTGGATTCTGCCTATGTGCCTTTTCCTCTGGTGGCTTCTGATTTCTATACTCGTGCTACAATAAAACCCCAATTGTAAGGATCGCACTTTACTGAGTTCTCTAAGTCGTTCTACAGATTATTGGCCGTGATGGAATGTGAGGGACCCTGAACTTGTAACTGACTGATCTGAAGAGAGGGTGGTCGTGGGGATCCCCAAACCTGTGGCTAGTGTCGGAAGTCAGAAGTCTCGGGCGGACTTGGCAGTCTGGAGAGCTGTGCCCTTAACCCCGAGTTTGGCCAACACCCGGTGTGGAGAGAGGTCAGAGAGGACTTTGAGGGGACAATGTAATCAAGCCTGTGTTTGCTTTGCCACGGGAGACCACACATGACTGCACTCGGGGGACGGGACCTATGAATGGCGCCTCAAGTCACCCCGACAAAGGCAGCCCGTTCACCCTGACTGAGCAAATCCTGAGGGCAGGGGAACAGAGGAGAGAGATTGTCCTGGACAGGCTGCGATGGGATGCATCCGACGATGCGTGGGCTGGGTTCTAAAACATCCCAGCAGGTCTGATAGACTCAGTAATATTAATAGCCACTAATATGGGCTACTCTCCGTACCTGGAATCTTGTTGGAAACATTTGATCCAGATTTTTCCTTATTTCTAATTGGCCATCCATTAGTTTAAATGGTATTTTTTTTTTTTTTTTTAGTCATTAACACCACAAAGGGAGCTTCTTCTAGCCTCCCCTCAGGCTTCACAAGAACCCTGTCCTCACTCCAGGATTAGAACAGAACTCCAGTTAAAACCCCCAGCCAGTTGAGGCTTATGGGGTGTTTTAGTGATGGGATAAAAACAGCCACCTGCTTCATCTGGGAAAATGTGGCACATTCCTGAGGGAGAGTGACTGCCCTTGGACAGCAATGGGCAGGGAGGGAGGAGGAAAGCGAACAATTACTGAATTCACAGGAGAGGCAGATAATGTTACAAAGATAGGTCAGCAAGGTCCCAACAGAGCCAGGGTGGGGACAGGAGAACAAACTGGGGAAGGCTGCCAGGCAAGCTCGTGTCCGGGAGCGGGGCTGGGAGTAAACAACCCGCCTTTGACTTCAACAACCGGGCTAGATTTGGGCTGGCTCTTGGTTTGAGGGGCCCTGACTGGACAGTTCCTAATAAATGTAGCTGACTGCCAAGGGCACAGTTTGGAGTCAAGGAGGCCTCACTAACATCGAGGACCTCCGATGCCAATAGATCTCACAGAGACAGCAGCACCTGGGTTAAAATGTTAAAACACTCCTAGATTGGTTGGTGAGGAGTTGTTGTTCTTTTCTATTTTTTTTTTAAGATTTGTTTATTTATTTTAGAGAGAGACAGTGAGCAAGAGACAGGGCAGAGGGAGAGAAGATCTCTTGACCCTGAGATCATGACCTGAGCCGAAAACAAAGAGTTGGACACTTAACTGACCGAGCCCCCCAGGTGCTCCAAGTAGCTGTTGTTCTTTTTTTTTTTTTTTTAAAGATTTTATTTATTTATTTGACAGAGAGAGACAGCCAGAGAGAGAACACAAGCAGGGGGAGCGGGAAAGAGAGAAGCAGGCTTCCTGGGGAGCAGGGAGCCCGATGCGGGGCTCTATCCCAGGACCCTGGGACCATGACCTGAGCCGAAGGCAGACGCCTAACGACTGAGCCACCCAGGCACCCCTGTTGTTCTGACCCTATAGGCACTCCCCCTCCCTTGCGACCTCCCCAACGTCCCACGACTCTGCAGCTACAGGGTTGCCACCAGCACGGTCCTCCTGACCCTCCCAGATCCACTGCCCAAGTCCTTTCTGATGGACTGGTGGCCACACCCTACTGGCTGTTGAATATTTGACAATCACCCTTGATGAGATCCCACATCTAGAATCTGTACAGACTGGGGAGTCTTTGTCAACTACCGAGTCCCACATACCTCTTCTTCATGGTCATCCTGAGCCCCATGGGCACCTGCAGAAGCCCTCTGGCCAGTGCTCATGGAAAGGCTGGAGTTGTCACCTTCAGTGTTCTCTGTGGCTTCCTCTTGGATCCTGGAGGCCTGCAGCTGTCAGCAAGCAAGGAAGTGAAGCACTAAATTCACCCTTTGAATTAGAATTACAATTTATTCTATGTAAAATAAAGGCTGTCATCAAGTATTAAGTATGTACCAGACACTGTTCTAAACTCTCTCTGCATCATCTCATTTAGGCTTCATGACAATCTTTTCATATGAGCACAATTATCACCTTGTTCTACAGAGAAGTAAACTATAGCAAAGGAAGTTTAAGAAATGTACCCAAGATCATACAGCTTGTAAGGCTAGTTAGTAGCAGAGCCAGGATTCAAACCCAGGCAATCTGATTCCAGAACATGTGCTTTTCTCCATGGTGCTCCAGAATGTGCCAAATTAATCTGTCTTTACAGTAAACCAGTGCATGTACAAGAGTACCTTTTATTGTTAAAATATATATATATACACAATATCATAAAATAGTCACAGCCTTGTGACCTGAACAGCTAGATTTCTGCAGGCAAAATTAACTAGGAGAAATTAATGACTGCTATAGTCTGAGTGTTTGTATCCCCCCTAATTCTTATATTGAAATCCTAAGCCCCAAAGAGGATAGTAGTCGAAGGTGGGGCCTTCGGGAGGTACTTCGGACATGAGGGTAGAGCCCTCATAAATGGGTTAGTGACCCTATAAAGGATTCCCCATGCAACTCTCTTGCCCCTTCCACCATGTAAGGACACAGTGAGAAAGTGCCAGCTAAGAACCAGGAAGGGGGGGCCTCACAATGATGAACATACTGGAGGCTTTGAACTTGGACTTCACAGCCTCCAGAACTGAACAATCAATTTGTTGTTTATAAGCCACCCAGTCTGTGGTATTTTGTTATAGCAGTCCAAACGGAGTAACACAATCACTTTTTGTCAACACTAATATACTCTTTTAAAATAAAAACATCACTTTATAAAAACAGCTAAGAAAAAAATTCAAGGACAAAAAAATCTAGGTGTAGTCAGCACATAATTTGGCCTGGTTTTATCCCTGAGTTTGTTTGTTTATTGATTTGTTTTAGAGTAGGGGAAGAGGGCTGGAGCAAAGGGAGGAATAAGGCTCCACTCCCAGAACAGCGCCCAACATGGGGCTCAATCTCATGACCCTGAGATCCTGACCTGAGCCAAAATCTAGACTCAAGACATTTAATCAACTGAGCAAACCAGAGGCCCCTCCCTGAGTTTGAATAGACTATTTCTTTCAAGTTACTCTGAAACTTAATGTCCCATGCCCAAAGTTATTTCCTAGAATGATTTTATGGGTGGAGTATTGCAAATTAGGCATTAAGGTCTTTTTACCTTTCTTTCTTTAGTGGGTCTACAATCTAATATTTGCAGAGCTTTAGGCAAAGGTAAAAATGGAAGTCCACATGTCATATATTTAAATATTTAAGAGTTATCAGTCAAGCCCACAGACCCCTAAATAAGATATGTTCTAGCCTCCTATCTTGATAAATCAATCAATCAATCAATCAAGTCTCATAGGAACTTGAAAGGTCAGGTTCAAATTCAGAGTCCTACACCAGGACATGGCAGCACAGGTGAGTTGGCCCTGCACTGTGGCATGCACCTTCTCCTTCTCCTTTCTGTTCTCATCCCATAGCACGAGGGCCATGTGTGCACACATGTGGACACTCCTGCCACAGTGTCCATGTTCCACCCACACTCCCCAAAAAGAGTTGCCCCATGTCAGGGTCTAGTGGTACACATGCCACTGTGTGGTTGGCACTTGGTAGGGCCTGGAAATGGACTTGAGTCCATTTGGACAAGAATTCTAGGGTGCCAGGTCCCGAGAGGGGGCTCTGGGTAAGCCTTTCCCCTTGGCCCCATAGTTCCTTATCCCATGATGAAGGATATGGCTCATGTTAACATGACTTTGTCTTCCTGAAATCCTATTTTCTCTCCCCCTTAACTTAAAGAAGAAAATCCCAAAAAAGACACAGAAGATAGTTTTTCCATTTCCATCCCTAATTTCCAGCCTTTTCTGGTCATTATCCTGGAGTTGGTTAAAATAAACATGAATAATTTTGCACAAGCATAATACTGGACTTTATAAATCCTAGTGCCCATCTTCTACTAACCAACTCACAGTCTTTGAGCCTGCCCAGTGAAATCAAATGTACAACAACTCAATTTTAAATTAGTTACTTACAACTTTCTGAAAACACATGTACCAAAAGACATGCACAAGGATATTTACATCAGTATTATCTGTAATCACTAAAACTAGAGACAAGCCAGGGACTTCCAGGGAAGATGGCAGGGTAGGAGGATCCTAAGCTCACCTTGTCCCTTGGATACTCCTGGGTAACACCCACATCCATGTAAAGAACCCAGAAAAGGACCCAAAGACTGGCAGAACACTCTCCACAGCTAAAGGTAGAGAAGAAGCCACATTAAAAAAAAAAAAAATGGTAGGAAGGGTGAAGATGCAGTTAGGAAACAAACTGATGCATGACACTGTCGATGGGAGGGAGGGACACACAGGCTTGGAGAAGGGAGAGGAGTAGATTCCAACCAGGCACCCCAGGTGCAGGGGGACACACACTAGGACAAAGCCCCATATCATTTGGCTTTGAAAACCAGAGGGGCTTAACTTCATAAGTTCTTACAATCAATGGGTTTTAACACCTGGAACTGTAAAAATCAGCAGGCTCCACCCTGGGAAAGTTGGAGGGGATAGGAAACTGAGTCCCCATCTTTAAAGAAAGAGCATAACAAATAGCCCTGCTGAGATACAGCATAGAAGAAGCAGTTTGAAAAAAGGGGATATAAGGGAAGGAGATTTACTTACTAATCCCAGAACAAGTACTAGCGTGGCAAGGATCTTTGAGTTCTCCAAGAACAAAAGAGCTGGCCTGGCCATTTCCTTCCCCCATCCCCTAGCCTAGATACACAGTCATCTGCAGGAACCAGTGCAGCCAGCAAACATTCTCCACCCACCTTGCTAACAGTGCCCCCAACCCTACCCTACCCCCCACCATGCTTTTCTGCGAACCACCCCCTCCAACCCACCCTTCGCAAGAGTCCATCCAAAGCAGCACCACAAGCATGGCATTGTGGAAGCAGCCCCCACAGCATTTATCACCATTCCAAAGTGACTCTTGCCCTGGGGAGAAGGGAAGATAACCACACAAACCTGTTCATGAGTGGTCCCAGCGGTAGGCTGCGGGCAGACAGCGGGACTGACTATAGGCCCTGTCCACCAACAAAAGCTTCTCAGGGACAACATAGGGAAAGTGCCCTGCAGTTCAGTGCTACTGCATCTCTGGCAAATGCCTGGTCTGTCCCAACTCGAGCCCAAACTGGCTCATTAACAAACATAGGGACAAAACCCTGCCCACAACAGGCAAGGAGTCATTGCAAATGACTAGACTAAAGGCAAACATAGCTCAGCCACAACAGTGGGACACACACAACACACATAGGAGACCGCCCTGAAGACTGAGATTCTGGTGAACAGAGGTAAGATCTCTTCTTCATAAGGATACTACTTTCAAGAGCACAAGATGTAGCTGACTTTCCTAACACATAGAAACACAGAGAATTAGACAAAATAAGGAGACAGAGGGATATGTCCCAAATGAAACAGGACAAAATCCCAGCAAGAGAGCTAAGTGAAACAGAGATAAATAGTATGCCTGATAGAGAATTTAAAGTAATGGTCATAAAGATACTCACTGGACTGGAGAAATGAGTGGAGGACCTCAGTTAGACCCTCAGCAAAGAGACAGAAAACATAAAAAAGAACCAATCAGAGATGAAGAACTCAATCACTGAAATTAAAAATACACTAGAGGGACTAAAGCTTAGATTAGAGGAAGTGGAAAAACAGATCAGTGACCCAAGGGACAGAGTAATGGAAAGCAATCAAAGCTGAACAAAAGAAAGAAAAAAGAATAATAAAAAATGAGAACAGATTAAGGGAACTCAACAACACTATTGAGTGTAATAATATTCACATTGTAAGCATCCCAAAAGAAGAAGAAAGAAAAGGAGGCAGAAATTTTACTTGAAGAAATAATAGCTGAAAAGTTCCTGAATGTGGAGAAGGAAACAGAAGTCCAGATCCAAAAGGCACAGAGATCCCCCAACATAATCAATCCAAGGAAGCCCACACCAAAATACATAGTAATTAAAGTGGTAGTGATAAAGAGAGAATTTTAAAAGAAGCAAGAGAAAAGAAAACAGTTGCATACGAGGGAAGTCCCATAAGGCTATCAGGGGCTCTTTCAGCAGAAACTTCACAGGCCTGAAGAGAGAGGCAAGACATATTCAAAGTTCTGAAAGAAAGAAACTTGCAACCAAAAATACTCTCTCCAGCAAGGCTATCATTCAGAATAGAAAGAGAGATAAAGAGCTTCCCAGACAAACAAAAGCTAAAGGAATTCACTGTCACCAAACCAGCCCTACAAAAAATGTTAAAGGGGACTTTTCAGGTGGATATGAAAGATCATAAGCAGGAGTAAGAAAAGTAAGAAGCACAAAAGCAGTAAAATTAAAAGTACATCTATAAAAATGGATCAAGGGATTCACTAAATAAAAGGATGTAAAATATGACACCACATACCTAAAATGTGAGAAAGGGAGAAGAGTAAGAGTTAGTGCTTTGAGTATGGGTTCAAACTTAAGTGACCATCAATTTAATATAGACTGCTATATGCATAAGATGTTATATATAAATGTAATGGGAACCACAAATCAAAAACTGGTAAAAAATATGCAAAAAATAAAGATAAAGGAATCCAATTATATCACTTAAGAAAGCCACCAAAAGGTGAAAGAAGAGAGCAAGAGAAGAAAGGAACAGAGAAAAATTACAAAAACAACCTCAAAGCAAGGAACAAAATGGTGATAAGTACATACCTATCAATAATTACTTTGAATGTAAATGGACTAAATACTCCAATCAAAAGACATAGGGTGATGGGATGGATAAAAAACAAGACCCATCTCTATGCTGCCTATAAGAGACATATTTCAGACCTGAAGCCACATGCAGTTTGA